AGTAGCCAGAATTACAGGCATGCGCTACCACGCCCGGCTGATTTTTTGATTTATTGTAGAGATGAGGTCTCGCTGCCCAGGCGGGTCTCGAACCCGTGGGATCAGGCAATCCACTCACCTCAGCCTCCCAAAGGCACAGGATTATAGGCTGAGCCACCGAGCCCAGCAGAGTCTTTACTTTTAAATGGTTACTGGTACACCAAGTGACAACACGTAACAAGTTCTTGAATTCTATCGTCTAGTAATTTTGATTAAGAGAAACTAAAAGCAGCCCAATCATACCAGTATTCATTGTTCTAACCATGAGCAGGAATGGACTACTTTAAGGCTGGCTACTTGTTACTTTTTCATAGATAAAGTCCATTTCCTTCAAGAAAGTGTTGGGGAAAGTTATTTAATCCCTTTCTTTCTTCAAATAATTGAGATTTTTCCCTACGATCTAAGAAAGAAAAAGTCAGCATTGATATATATGTTGCTTGAGCCAAATAGGGAAAATAAACAACATATACCCATGAAATAAGAAAGGGATACCTCAAGAAATACGAGGCAAAGAGAGGATATCTTCAAAAAAATCTCTAAGTATGTACAAAGATAGCTAGATTTGCTACTCTCCAAAAAGTGAAGGGATCTACTATGTAATATAGAGAAATAACACCTTTTCATAGGAATAAAGAGCTTTGCTAAAGCCTTATTCTATGAAGGCATCCAAAATGCTGATCTTCGCCATATCAACTTATGTGGTAGTTTTCATGGATTTCTGGCCAGATGTCACACATAAAGGCCAGGAGGTTATCCGAGACTTCATCTCTGTTCTGCCTGAAGTAGGTCTGGAGGATGGTCAACTTCTGGGTCTCCTTGAGCTGCAGCTTCCTTGGCCTTGAACTCTTGCGCCCTCTGCAGGCGGTACTGTTCAATTTCAACCTGACCTGCTTCTTGGCCTGCAACAGCCTCTGGTGCTTCCTTCTGCCGCATGGTTCTTCCTTTTGCGGCCCGCTTCTCGGCTTGCAGCAGCTGCTGGGTACCCTGTGATTGATTGGCCATGGTGGCAGCAACTTGTTTTGTATTTTTAAATAAAAACGTATGGCAAATCCTACTGAGTGCCAAGAGCCTGTATCAAGTGAAATCAGGCAAAAAGCTCACCTTCTGAGTATCCAATTGTTGACAGGCTCGCTGGCTTCTTCTAAGATCTCCTTCTAGCTTCATTTCATCTTGCTTACTTTTAAGTCGCATTCTAATTGAAAGAAAAAATTGTACTCTAAAGGTCTCCATTCTCTTCAGTCCTCTGATATGCCCACGCACCAAAGAACACACCTCAGTAAGCAGTAAGGGGAAGTAAAACCCAAAAGAGCTTAAATATGGTTTTACCGAAACTGTTCTGCAGCTTTTTCTTCAGCTTGGTGTTTCATGTGGCTCTTCCTTCTGTAGTTTTCTAATTTCTCCTCTGCTTTCCGTTTTAAAAGTGTCTCATGGCCAATGCCACTTTTCCCTGTTCAAACAGAAAATTCTGATGAGAAATGAATTGATTTTGTATTTCAAAACATGGTAATTTAAATATTTACAAATTAAATTCAATTCTCATTTGAACACAATCACTCAGAAATCATTTGGCTGGAATAATAAAACACGAGGATTTTTTTGTTCTAAAGCCCAAACACACAATATAATTTTTACAGAGATCATTAACCTTATTTTATAAGACAGTAATAATATGTAAGTTTTTTTTTAAAAAAAGAGAAACAGTATCAATTGCCATATTCTTATTTAAATATGATGGATAAAATGTATTTTTCTCATGAACTCATCCAAAGTATTAACAAAAACATTTAATGAATAAATCTGTCTCAGAACACTTTTAGGACATTTCTTTCTTTCTTTTTTTTTTTTGAGTTGGAGTCTCACTCTGTCTCCCAGATTGGAGTGCAGTGGCCGCTC